CGACACAAAAACACAGTCACGATTGCCCGTACACTCGCTCAGTATTTCACCCAGAGAAACGTGACACGCTCAAACCCAGCATGTTAATCATCTCCCTGTTTCCATTCTGCAAATACATATCCGCTGCGTTTACCAACACAGCAGTTGGGAACTCACCGAGTCGTGCGTTAAGTATGTGTCACAGTAATCACAGTAAAACCTGGAAAATAAAAGAGAAAATTGTTAATGTTAATTAACATGAAAATGAAAATGTTAATCATCCAGGTGGGGCTGCACATTGGTGCTGTTGGAGGGGAGACTCCATTACCTGTAAAGCGTTTTGAGTGGAGTATCCAGAAAAGCGCTATATAAGTGTAAGCATTTATTATTAATGCTTCTACAAACTCAAGACACTAAATTGTTATTGTTGCACTCCGTTTACAAGGAAAACAAAACGACCCTATTTACATTGGCAATCCTGTAATAAGGACTCAGTCAAAAGTTTGCTTTGCAAGTTGATTTATACACATTTCCAGGGGACACTGAACTGAACATCATAATCTATTGATGATGAGAAAACCCCGAGGTTACCGACCAACAGAAAATGCGTCAACTTACTTTAGCACGACTGTCTTATAATATAGTTATAGCTTTGTTCAAAACTGCATAGTTGTGCGCATTAAAACGATATTTTCCATTTAATAAACTGTGAATAAATGTAATGTAAACTTTAATTTGTGCTGAAAAGCCACAGAGTTAGGCACCAGCGTCTGAAAAACAATAATGTTGCTACGCGCCATACTTTATGTATGACCTTAGAAGCGTCGTATTAAATTAAAAGGCGGCGATTTAAGAAATGAACGTTAGCTCGATCAGCGAGTCTTTCATTGTTGTACTTCGATATAACCACATGGTCTTTCTTGATAAATTACCATCACGAAAAGCTCTGTCTTATTCAACTGCAACTTGAGCGCTCCGTACAACTAATTATAACACAAGATATTACGAGCTATTAACTTTAAAGATTAAAGATGAAAAAAAAACACTTACTTCGGCATCTCCAAACATCAAGTTGCTGCAGAAAACGCTCTTCCTGTCGCCATGCAATCGGAAGTGACATACCCTGGCGGCGCATTTTTTAAGATATTCACGTCCATCAAACTACAGCACCCCCGTCTGGTAACTTAGTGTTAGTCCTCCAGTGACAGCATGCAAATCAAGGTAACTGCACAGGACTTAAAATCACTTCTGGTTTGTTTTATAGTGTTATTATACGTTTTTCCAATAATACAAGCTCTTTCGAGGACAATAGCAGGGGGACTCAATTTAAAGTTCAGTCCCGGCGTGACGAGTTACAGAGTCGTAATGCAAATGGTTAAGACCCTCAGGAACTGTCTAGTAGGACCACTGATAATTAGAGCAGTGTTACACCTCCGTCTAGCCTGATTTCTCCAGATCTCAGAGAGCAACACTGGACCTGGTCAGTACTGGAATTGGAGATCTCTAAGGGAAACCAGGCTACTGCTGTAAGTGATGCCTGTGGACCAGTAGGTGGCGCTCACTTCCCCAGATCAGAATTTACACATCACTTCCCCAGTATGGCCAGGAATACTGTTTTCTAAGAGGCCCTGTTCTTCAGATGGCTAGTCTAAATTGCACTTTGGGCGTGGACCAAAGATTTGGCCTTACCTAAATTGTCCCTTAATTCAGTGATTCAACTGGTGAAGCAGTCTGCTCTACCCAACCAGCTGTGCATTGGTGTTACAGACGCAGAACAGCTGCCACACACCAACAGGTGGGCGTAGCAATTCAGTCTAGAATAATGTGTATACACCTCCTATATGTCAATTGCTTTGGGATTCACTGAGTGTTTTATAACACAATTCTCAGTACTATAATTTGATTTTGTGTTGAGAAGGATTTCTGGGATGAAGGACCTCCAAACAGAAAAGACGGAAATAGTGCTAAATTAAAAGCAAAAACGGAGGATTATTTGTCTCGCTTTCAAAGCTCCCAAGGAGAAATCCGAATGACATCAAAGACATGGGAGATCTTCGTGCATCTCGAGTAGCAACAGATGACGTAAAAGCCGCCGTGACGACCTCAAACCGCTGTGGCCAACGTCTCCGTAGTGTGACGTCGGCGTCTTCCCAGAGCTCGCCCCAGCCATGCGCAGTGAGCTTGTTGTTGGGTTGGTTGTTATGACTGGCTGAGGCCTCGGACTAAATTAGGAGAGAAACCCCCGCTGCCGCCCCGGGACACCCGCCATGGAGGGCATGGACATGGACCTGGACCCGGAGCTCATGCAGAAATTCAGCTGCATGGGCACCACCGACAAGGACGTCCTGATCTCCGAGTTCCAAAGGCTTCTTGGGTTCCAGCTGAACCCGGCCGGCTGCGCCTTCTTCCTGGATATGACCAACTGGTGAGTCCGGGGATGCACGGGGCCTTCGCCGTTAAAGGGGAGGACGGAGTTGTGTTATGTGTGTGTGTGTTAGCCCAGCTGAGAGTGACGCGGTTGTGTTTCGCCACAGCTGCCCGTCTGATGTTGTCTTTCTGCGTTGTTTCCATCAGGCTGTTGGCGATTTTACAGACAGCCCTGACCGAAAAGGAAAGTGCAGGAAGTTTCGATCTGTTTGTGAAAACAAGGGGGGGGGGGATACGTGCCATGTTGTGTGCGGAGAAAATGCGGCGATTTTAAAGTGTTCGGGGCTGTGAAAAAGGGACTCCCAGTTCGCGAAGTCTTGTCTTCCCTCGCCGAGTTGTGGAATGACTGGTAGCGGCAGTAGTAGCAGCCTGTCGGTGCGCGTCTGAGAGAGTAACTGTTACACTTCCAGCCCCTTCATTGAGGGCAGCGAGTCCGCACTGACGTAAATAATGGAGCCTCGCAGAGGTTTCTGTACCGTGCGGCGCATTTCTGACTGAGACAAAAAGATCAAACACTCCAACCCCTCGACATCTAGCAATCCCGAAGTCTAGGGACAGAGTTACACTGCGTGTGATTGCTCACACGTTCACGGGCTATTGCTTTAGTTTCTCTTTCGGTCTCTTATCTCGTAACCACATCCGTAAGGTTAAAATGCATGCCCGTAGTACAGAAGGATTTTATAGTAAGTAAATGAGGGCCATTCTGTGAACTGTACCAGCAGTGTGGCATTAGGTAAGGGCAACTACTGAACTGATCGATACAAATTCAATGTTGTAAGCGCCCCAGAACAAAATAGTCCCGAACGGGCTGTCGTTGCATTTGGAGTACAAAGGCGATGAATCGCCATCCGATGTCGTGTTTAAAAACGAGATCTGAGCGTGCGTGTGTGTTGAGGTCTCGGAATCGATTTCACAAAATCGGAGCAGCACGATAAAATGCGCGACCTCCTGCGGGGGTCGGGGCTAGTAGTATCATTGCATCATCGCACTCGCTTGCGAGGTGTTTGGATTTTTCCAGCAAAGTTTCAGATCGTTGGTGATGAACGTAGCCCGGTCTTTACAAAAGAATAACAACAACAACAACTCTGGAGTCGTGAGTCATGTTCACAGTATCGGTGGAAACGGGCTGTGGCGAGTAAATGATCTCATTTCACGGGCGAGACCGGCCCGACAATCACTGGTCACGTGGGGCTCGCGGCGCAACAACGCCGGCTAAAATTAGCGCCGCTCCAAGTCTGGCCCGTCACCTTTCACCTTTCCTGAGACGACTAGCTCCAGGCTTTCCGATTGTCAGCACTCCTCTCGGCGCGTTTTCAGAGCCTCTGTCGAAATTGTATCAGAACAGAGCAGGGAAGAGTAGCTCAAGTCAGCTAGTTTAGTTTGCATGATTTCACATGATGGGCCGTTTCGACATTTCCAGTTTTTACGGAACTTTTTTTGGGGTAAAAGATCCATCCCAGTCGCATTATTACGCTGATTATTACTTTTTCAAATCGGCAGGGTCGACTATTTTTTCTCCCACCCTGACCATCAGTGCAACTTCAGTCGCCACGGCACTGCTGAAGGTTTTAGATTAGAGCCGGTTCTGAATTTCTTGGCTGCCACACTTCGCAGTACCGACGATTTAGGGCTGCCCAAAAAAGAGGTATTTGTGATGTTAAAGGCACTTGGACTAAGGCAACAGGTACTTCTTCACTTACAGGAATTTGAGCTCAAATCCCAAATTACCTCAAATTATGGTTGAGGTAATCTTCCTTCAAAGTAAATTCGCACAACACCATTGAACTCAGTAATCCCCCTTAGTCGTTCAGGCAGGGAGCTGCGTCAGCAGGCGTGGGCTTCAAAGGATTGAGTAAAGGTTTACTCCATGCTGAAAAGAGAAGAAAGGAAACACAACGATTTGGCTGTGGAGCCTGCTTCGGGTGTGAGAGAGAGACTGACCTCGGGTGAGTGAAAGCTGACCTCCCTCTCTTTCTCACACTCGAAGAAGGCTCCACAGCCGAAACACTGTGTTTCTTTTCTTCTCTTTTCAGCATGGAGTAAAGCCTTACCTTGATCCTCCTTAATATTTACTACTACAATATTTACTACTACAAGGTTCTAATTCGCGCCACCATTGTCTGTGAATCCAGCAGCCATATCACCCTGCAACTCACAACTGGCAGCCCGCTGAAGCTCAGCAGGGGTGAGCCTGGTCAGTACCTTGATGGGAGACCTCCTGGGAAAAACTAAGGTTGCAGTTAGTGGGGCCAGCAGGGGGCGCTCACCCTGCAGTCCATGTGGGTCCTAATGCCCCAGTATAGTGACGGGGACACTATACTATAAACAGGCGTTGTCCTTCGGACGCGACGTAAAACCGAGGTCCTGACTCTCTGTGGTCATTAAAAATCCCAGGGTGTTTCTCGAAAAGAGTAGGGGTGTAACCCCGGCATCCTGGCCAAATTTCCTATTGGCCCTTACCAATCATGGCCTCCTAATAATCCCCCTCTATGAATTGGCTTCATCACTCTGCTCTCCTCCCCACTGATAGCTGGTGTGTGGTGAGCGTTCTGGCGCACTATGGCTTCTGTCGCATCATCCAGGTGGGGCTGCACACTGGTGGTGGTGGAGGGGAGTCCCCATTACCTGTAAAGCGCTTTGAGTGGAGTGTCCAGAAAAGCGCTATATAAGTGTAAGCAATTATTAATTATTATAATTAACACTCCTAACCGCTATCTTAGAGACAGCCTAATGTTTGTGACAGGCATTGCTTGTGGTTTTCTCTTCACTGGTCCGGAGTCTGCTGTGTGCCACAGCGGGGGACTGGTGCAGTGAGAAGACAGCTGTGTCGGAGACTCCACCACAGGCACCGTGATTAATGGAGCATATGGCGGGCAGAAAAGCTGTGCTGGATATCCTTGATACAGGCATGAAGAGGATGAATAGCGCCTCCTGCTGGCTGAAGACAGTGTTGGCATTTCCACTCAGCTAGGAGCCAGCACGATGCTTAGAAAAAGGAAGGATTCTCAGTTAGTTTCTGTCCTTCGAACCTGCAGTGTGCATCATGCTAATTCTGGTGCACACACAGACACCCTCCCCCCGCGCACACACTTACCGAGCATGCGTTTCTCCCTGTGCATCCCTCAGCCCACAGTGAGGACCACCAGACTCCCCTCCCAGAGAAGAGGCAATTGACAAGACGTCTTTCAATATACTGTTGAAATGCTTTGGACACAGAACGTTTATCACTGTAGTAAACACGTTTACCTAGACGTTTGCTTCACTAAATGGTTAACCAGGTACTCTTTCAGAATATACTGGTGCCTCTGAAGTGTCCTGGCTGCCCAATGCTATTGGTTTTGTTAGGCAAGTTTTACAGCAAAGGACTATGTAGCTATGAGTTTATTCTACCGCAGCTGATTCAGACTCGGAGCCTAGGAGGATGTATCCTGGTTAATGTTTTGTGGTGTAAGTGCTACAGTATATATTCCAGAATTCAAACTCTTATTGTCTCAGAAGCTGGGGTCCTGTTCCAGTCAGAGTGGATTCTGTTCGAGTTTGTTTTCAGTGTAAATCTAATACAGGTGTGACCTGGAAAGAATGCAGACTGGCCTCTCTCAGGACATTTGCTTTCTTATTCTTAAACTACTCCAAGGTAACTCTGAACCCTTGTCCTGCTGAAAGGTGACTTTTTGTTCTGCCTTTAGGTCTTGAGCAGAGTGAAGCAGGTTTTTTTGTTTAACATTTGCTTTGACTTTTCTCCACCCATTTCCCCCTCTAGCCTTGACAGGCTTCCCCGTGAGAAGCAGCCTCATAACATAATGCCGCCACCAACCTGCCTGCGAGGAGGGACAGTGTTGACTGAGTTTGTTGGGTTTGTGCTGGATCTAACACTTTGCATTTCAAGTTCCAGTTCAGTCATCTTCCCACAAAACCTTTTGTCATATTTGCACTGTCATTTAAATGTTTGCAAAAAAAAAACATACCAGCTAGCTCAAAGTTCACAGTCAACAATGGGCTCGCAGTGGCATCCCTGACCAGTTTCCACCTTCCCTGGCTGCTTGCGTTGCAGAGGCAGCCTGATTTAGGCAGTGTCACCCCGCCAGACTCCGCTCAACTAATTGTGTGACTGGTCAAAGTAATTTTGTGTTCCTGAACTAATCTCCATTTGCTACAGAAAAGGGCATGTTCATGTACACTGCCTGAATAGCAGTACATCATGCAGTGTAGCACCCCTGTGAAATGTGAAGGGGTGACAATCAGATTGTCCTGGTGCTGGGCGGGTTCTGGAGTCCTTATCTGCCTGTAGCAGAAGAACATCAGAGAGGTAACTGGTTAAGCTGTTGACTCCCTGCTTGGTGTTTTTATTCATATATAGAGGGCTTTTGCAGCACATTGCTACGTGTTGTTTCCCTCCATATTGATTTATGGCATGTTATTTTAATAAAAGTAAAAGATTAATTTTACAGTTCTCACCAGTTCCTTAACTGCACAGCTGGGAAAGTTTACACACATGGCCCTTTTCAAATCAAGTAAATAATGTATAATTCCTTGCATTTGTGAAGCAGTTTTTACCCAGAAGAGTCGCAGAGCACTTTAAAGACAGAAGGGGACTCTTCGTCCATGAGTGAAGAGCAGCCCCCATCTGGGTGACTTGTGGCAGTCATTCTGCACCAGGAGCTCCCCTCCGCTGGAGATAGGATAAGTTACTTCACTAACTCAATTAAGGAAGAAGTTCGAAATTATTTTTATTTAATTATAATAATAATAATAATAATAATTGCTTACACTTATACAGCGCTTTTCTGGACACTCCACTCAAAGCATTTTACAGGTAATGGGGACTCCACCTGGATGATGCAACAGTAGCCGTAGTGCACCAGTAGGGTCACTACACACCAGCTATCAGTGGGGAGGAGAACAGAGTTGTTATTCATAAATGGGGATTGTTAGGAAGCCGTGATTGGTAAAGGCCAATGGGAAATTTGGCTAGGAAGCCGGGTAACACCCCTAAGACCC